GCTCTAGTATTTGTGGGTTCAGATAAGGATAGGGACACGGCATTCAGCTTTCTGAGTCGCTAGGCACAATTAGGTAGCTGGATAACTGCATGCCCTCATTTGGGTAAACAAGTAAGGCATGCACTGAGCTGTGAATGGCAGCATTGCAAACACAAAAAGGCTAGTTGGGTTCTGCCATGGAATCTCGGATAAGACACGCTCTTGACCTCTTCCTGTCTATATACTGTATGCCTATCTCAAAACTGTTCTGTTTGGTAATAACAGCAGAAAGAAAGAAAGAAAGAAAGAAAGAAAGAAAGAAAGAAAGAAAGAAAAAGAATGCAGTCGGTAGAGCATGAGACTCTTAATATCAGGGTCATGGGTTCAAGCCCTATCTTGGGCAAAAGATTTCTGCATTGCAGGAGGTTGGACTAGATGACCTCCATGGTCCTTTCCAGCTCTACAGTTCTATGCTAATATAGCTACTGGATGGTGTGTGTATGTGAATATTTGCAACTTGGATGATTAACAATGTAATCACTCTTCCCAGCCAATCTGCACTGTGGAACTCAGCATCTAATCTGCAGCCTTATTCCCTATGCCAGGGGTCTGCAACCTTTAAGACAAAAAGAGCCACTTGGACCCGTTTCCGAAGGAAAAAAAACTGGGAGCCGCAAAACTCGTCATTATAAAAATAACTTTTTTGTCACTTTTTTATTATTTCTTTGTTTGACCCCTCAGAATTACTCCACCTCATAGAAATAAATGTTAAATTAACAAGTTACCTTTTTGTGTGTGTGTGTTCTTCACTCCCCTTCAAAACAGTGACCAGCGTACATGCCCCCTTTCCATGCAGTGACCAGCGTACATGCCCCTTACAATGTAGCGGGCGGGTGGGAAGGTGACGTCGGGACGGTGCGTGACTAACGCACGCACCGCCCCCATGCGACGTCACAGTCAGTACAGCACCCGCCACAGTGGGGAGTGTCGGGGCGCACAATGCGCCTCCTTCCCTCGCTAGTATCTGCCCCGGAGCCACGGCAAAGGTGTAAAAGAGCCACATGCGGCTCCGGAGCCATGGGCTGCTGACCCCGGCCCTATGCCTTTTCAAGCAGGTGGCTCCTTGAGTTAGTTCTCTCTCTGTGTGTTTTTAAGCATTCAGTCCAGAGATGCTTCCATCCAGACTGTCACTATTTTCAAGTGGCATATCAATCACATACCAACATCAGATTTAGGGCGCAGAGCCAAGGGGGCACATGATGATGGTGATGGTGATATCTCTATTTATATGGGTACCTACAGAGATGATCCACAAAAAAGCAACTGTATCAAAAAGAATTATTGTGAGAATAAGAAATATCGGTGGGGGGTGGGGACACCAAATTTCATCTTCACTCAGGGCGCCATATTACCAAAGTCCACCTCTGCCCATACCAGTGAAATCAAGTTGCCCCATTAAAGTTTATTTGTCAGTCTTGTGCAACAAACTCGCTTCCCGAAAATATCAGACTTTTTGCAATGTGGAAAATGACGAGAAAATTCACTGGAAAGTGTTGAATAACACTTGCTTGACACACTGTTGTCTGACCTACCCACAAATGTATCAACATGAATGCTAAAAAATAGCTGTCGTGGCTTAACCTTTCTGTAAACAAATGAATAAGCATGTCATCTGGAAGCAGCCTTAATGGGAGAGTCATTGACAAGGAATGCACAAAGACTCCAACAATTGTGGTCACTGATCTTTATCTCCAGATTCACTGGATTTGGGCTTTTATGTTGCTTCAAGTATTCTTAAGGTATTCAAGTGGGATTTTTTTAAATGAGCATTGCAAAGCATGCACATCATTAAACTTAAGATATGCTTGATCATCTTGTTACTTCTTAGATGTTCAGGATAGCAAGCTGCTACCTTTCTGCTTCCCTCCCATGAGCAAAGACTAGCTATAGTGGAGAAGATTAGGCATCCAATGTGTGCTGAGACTGGATTTCAGAGGCACAAGTTTTGGTTGCCAGCATGGAACCTCATGGGCTCAAGTACAGTATGCACACAAATTACCGTAGTTTGTTCAAACATAGGTTCTTATAAGCAAAGCTCAATAGCTGGCCTCAGGAGAGAAATAAATTGCCCTGTGATCTTCAGATGAAGGGCTGCATGGAAATTTAATTAATTAATATTTCTCGGTCTAACCTAGTTGACAGGGTTATCATGAGGATAAAATGAGATATGGTTATGGTAAGGTTCTCTTTCCACTTTGGAGGCCCTGAGAGAGGGCAGAAAATAAAACAATATAGAAGATGTAGTTTTTTTCTGTTGCAGAAAAGATACATGCACCATGTGTCTTCAAATATCTGTTGATTTCTTGGTGCTGGGTGGATTGCTTCAACATCATGGAGTTATGTAGGAGTAACCTGCCAACGAGATATTGGAGATATTGGAGAGCCTCAACATTTTTTAAAAATAAAAATAAGTGTGGTGTAGCGGTTAAGAGTGGTAGACTCGTAATCTGGGTAACTGGGTTCACGTCCCCGCTCCTCCACATGCAGCTGCTGGGTGACCTTGGGCTAGTCACACTTCTTTGAAGTCTCTCAACCCCACTCACCTCACAGAGTGTTTGTTGTGGGGGAGGAAGGGAAAGGAGAATGTTAGCCGCTCTGAGACACCTTCAGGTAGTGATAAAGCGAGATATCAAATCCAAACTCTTCTTCCTCTTCTTCCTTTTCTCTCTTTCTCATAAGAATTTCTAGATAACTAAACATTTGCAAGTCTTAGTGGGCTCCAAATATTATATGCAAGTAGTTGTTGATGATGATGATATTGTTGCCTGCATTTACAAAACATTTGTCATGTAAGAATTGCAATGATGCCAACTCAATACTGAATTTATTATCATCATCATCATCATCATCATCATTATTATTCCTGTAATGCTACAAGTGACCTTATTCAAACCACACTAGACACCCAATTGATTGAATTAATCTTATATTCAGCTGTGATCTGCCTTGATTGTATTAGTGTGTTTCCCTGGTATGTGTCATTGCTGCCCAAGCGCTTTGAAGTTCTGGGAAAATCCAGGTCTGTATGAGTAACTCTGTAGTTATCTTTTTCTTCAATCAATGTGATGACCTCACATGCCAAAGTCAGGCTGAAGCTTTTGTTTTGACTGCTGTTGGAACTTTCCTCTCTAAGATCTGAAACCACAATGTGGCAGTCATTCCAACTATTATTAAGTTCCATAAAAAGGGGAGGGGGGTATTTCAACCTATATGAGGGTTGTTTTTTCAGATGCAAAAACAACTCTGTAAGAGTTTTTATTATTCAGATTTTCTAAAAATGTACCCAATGCCCAGTAGCTTCTGAGTGTATATTCAGAGGGGGTTTTGTTTTTTAAGGCATAGATGATTGCTAATACAAATAAGAAAATACAGCAAGGGGAGCGCTACAAAGAATTACAACAAGACCTGCAGCAACCTTTCTACATCCCAGCAAATACTATTTTTTTTAATCAAAACCCCCCACAGTTGAGTCAAAATAGAGGTTGCATATTAATTTTGCATAATGTGTATAGCCCAGCAGGTTTTTTATTGAACCACAGGAAAACAATCCACTGCTAAAGGACATTCAAATATTAAGGCTACATCCTATGCACACTTATCTTCAAGTAAGCCCAGACTTACTTCTGAGTAGGTATGTATAGGACTGGCTGTATATATAGATTGCAGAATAAAACAGGATGTTTCCCATTAATTTTGCTTTAGGGTTTTTGTAGCAACAAATATTTTCACCATTTGCTTTTGCATCATTTCCTTAGCATATGTCTTCTGGTTGTTGTTCTAAATACACTGGAAATCTTAGAGCAGTGGTGGGGAACCTCTGGCCCTCCAAATGTTGTTGGACTCCCGTTCCCATCAGCCCCTGCCATCATGGCTAATGGTGAGGAATGATAGGACATATAGCCCCAAATCATTCTGAGGGCTACAAGTTTTAAACATTGTTTCCTTGGAAATAACTAATTGGGAATAGTGTCCTAGTGAGGAAGGAGGCTTTCAAACAACCTGTTTATTGAGCATTCATTCTGATTTGTTTGCAGGGCGATTCGATTATGTTGCATCAAAGGAAGTGTTATCGCACTTCCCAGTGTATTCTCCCTCACTTTCCTTATCACAGAGAGTTGCTATTGATCTCCTTTGTTTCTCAAGAACTCCCAATCACCTATAATTACACAACCTGAATTTGCAAGTATGTGATTGAATCCCACTTGAAAACAGGGACAGTCTGAGAGTGACCTTAACACTTTTTTTGTGTAAGCAAATCGGGATGAAAAGAAGTCTGCAAGGGACCGATGTATGACATTCACTGTTGATGGGGAAATAAGTATATATGTCCTACCTCACAGGGCTGGTGTGAGGATGATGGGAGAGGCAACATCTATGCTTTTTGATAAAAAGGCAATAAATAAAACGCATCTTTTTTCTGATGTGGTCCCGAGGTGCTAAAACGAGGATGTTTGTGGAGTGCTGAAAGTCTAGTAATGATTTTGTAGGATGCAGTTATTTTCAAGATTCCCGCCTCTTGCTTGCTGCTGGAAACTCGCTTTCAAACAGCCATGCTAAGGCTGGCTTTTCAGAGACCCAGCCCCCGCCGTGTGGCTCAGTTTCTGTAATTTTAACTTGTCTCCATAGAACCGATCACGTCTTCTTGGCTTTCTTTGTCTTGGGAGACAAAGCCCGACCACAGGATGCACGTCTTTCCTCGGAAGTCAGCCCCAACTGAGGTCCATAGAGCTCTGCTCCCACGCAGATGCGCCTGGCGAAGCATCCTTGAGATTTCTCTGACAACACAAGGCTTCTTGTCCCGTCCCCCCGCCCTGCTCCCCCTCCCCGCTTTCTCTCCCCCACCGCCACGGACACCTTGCGAAATAGGTTGGCCACGTGGGCCGCCGCAGCCAATGGCTGCAAAGGGGGCGGTCCGGCAGCGGGCAGGTTTGTAGCATTTATTGGCTCGGCGCTGGCCGGCCGGCTCCAGCGGCGCTTGCAGTCTGCCGATCGCTCTCTCTCCGTCTCCCTCGCTCTCTCCGCCCGCTTTCGCTTGTCACCTGCGCCGGAGGGGGCGATGGATCGCGCCTGGCCCTCCGATCCCCCGGCGGCCTCCGCCGCGCTAAGGGACGGGCTCCTGCCGTCGCCCAAGCCCCCGGCGAAGAAGCAGGCGGTGAAGCGCCACTACCACAAGCACAACCTCCGGCATCGCTACGAGTTCCTGGAGACCCTGGGCAAAGGCACCTACGGCAAGGTGAAGAAGGCGCGGGAGAGATCTGGCAAGCTGGTAAGGAGAGAGAGGGAAGCGTGTGCGTGTGCGTGTGCATGTGTGAGTGTGCGAATCCGCTTTACGCCAGTATGCCGGGACCCTTCAGGCTAAGGTGCCTATTGCGCTGCGTGCACATTTCCGCCAAAGCTTATCGGCCAGTTCTTGGTTCTTGGGGTTCCAGGCAGGATTCTGACCCTGTGCCAACTCCTAGGTGGGGAGGTCCCAGCAGCCCCCCCCATAAAATATTTGAAGGGGCCAGGCACCCCCAAAGTTGATTGGCACTGACATTCAAATAGGGTGCGCGCGCCACATCTTGTGATCGATTATGTGGGGTGGGGCTTATCTGCCCCCAGCCAAATATTCTATTCAGGTTGGCACCCCTGGTTGGAGCTGCTGCAAACCCGGACGCGCTTACACGGAAGTCAGGCCCCTTGAACGCCTTGCTTGCTCCTAATCTTGCATAGGATCGCGCTGTTGATCGGTCTCCTCCTTTGCAAGGTGTCAGAACAGGGTTGCCCCGAACAAGTTCCTTTGCTTGCCTGGATAGAATCCTCCCTCACCCTCCGCGGTGCCGCAGTTTGATTTTTCTTCCCAGAAGGATTCCCCGGGAAGATCTCCCTTGAATCTTCCCGCTGTTTGTGCCACCATCAGCACTGCTGTTCCTTTTCAGTTTAGCAGCGAGGTGGCTGGCAGCGGCAGGACGCCCTCGGCCAAATCCCCCTGCCTCAAAGCCCTTTCTCCCTCTGTCTGCCTCTGCGGCAAGCGCGGCGTTCTCGTCCTCCAGGTTTTAAGCTGTGTAAGCCGGCAACTGGGACCTCCTTTGCATTTCTGGATGGCGAGATGCCTGGCAGCGGCTCTATGGTTTTTGCGCATCTGATGCCATAAAGGTTGGCAGATTCTCCCTGGGAGATCACAGAAGTCTTCATCCTCTACAGCGCAGGGTTCCCTGCCGCAGACAGCAAAGGCTGCGGGGCGATTGGTGCTGCAGGAGAGCGCTTTCCAAGGGGGGGGGGCGACGCAGGGGCGCGTGAATCGCCATTGCACAGCCTGCAGGGTTTGCTGGTGCCCGGGGCAGCTTCGAGATCCTTGGGAAAAATGTCTTTCTCTCACCCACCAACCCCCAGCATAGAAATAGATTGCATAATGAATGTCAGTTATCTTCTGCCAGAGTGCGTTTTAAAAAATAAAAATAAAAAAAATCTGCAATTCAGATGACCCTTGTAACTAGTTCTGCAATCTGAGTCTATGCAGATTTACTCAAAAATAAATTTCACTGGTTTTTAATGAGACTTACTTGGAGATAGTGGCGCATGGGTTGGCAGCCTTCACGAATTGTGAAGTTGCAGGGAAGGGAGGTGTGCAAAGAGAAAGAGGTTGGTTGGGTGGCCCTGTGAGACAGGGATCACCCCCCCCACACACACTTTTTGGCAAAGGCCTCCTGGTTCCAAATTAGTGATGCAAACAGTGAAGGCAAAGCGAATTAATCCTAATCTGAGTTAATAAACTAAATTGGCAAGCTGTGGGACAGGCCTGTGCAAGTTAAGGGTGGCCTTGCAAAACTTCACTTTCCTGGTGTGAATCATTCTGGCTGGTGAGGAACAGAGTGGTAGGATTAAGGGCAATTACATCCTACTGAGCCAGGGTGGTGAAAATTTCACCTCTTCTGCAAGACTGCCTTAAGTAGCTTTCTTTTTTGGTGACAATGGCAAGGCATTTATAGCAGCAGCTTCCTTGCAAGGCTGAGCTTTGGTGGTAGCCAAAATGCCCTTGTAAAATGGGAGGGCAAGTGGTCTGGGGGCCCCTTTTGGCAATGGCACTCTTTTCTTTCCCCTTAAAAGTAGAGGACAAAGCTAGCCAATCCTCTGCTGCTATATTTAGTTCTCCTCTCTCCTCTGCTGTTATTGATCTGACATGAATTGCCTGTCACTGCCACTGTTTGCCTTTGTGGCTGGCCTCATTTGAAATGGGGAAAGTCGACTTTCATTGGCTGGAGTTTTCAGGCAGGGAGGGAATCTCTGCAGAATCTAGGAAGGGACCCAAAGCTCTCAGGGTCGGTCTCTCTCTCTCTTCTGATTTGACCTTGCTGTGCTGGTGTAAATTAGTATTTCTGGGGAAGGTACATCAGTGTCTGTGTGAACACAATTAAAATTAACCCAAAGGTTGTTAGGGACTGTGTTCTAATAGCAGCACTTCCAGGTTCTGAACACGGGCACCTAAGCCTGTTAGAAACCTACTGCACAATGACAGTGGTCTCTCTACAAAACCCCTGTAGGAGAAGGCGTGTCTATGCAGGCCTTGGCAAAGCCCTGGATTTTGGGAATAAATTAATCTGGTGGCATGATCATCTTGGCCCATTAGTGAGCAGTGTTGATGTGGGTGGTGGATAAACAGCTCCCAGTCATGCTGACTGAAGTGGCAGTTTTGTTTCCTTGTGAAAGGGGAATTTGCATGTTGACTTTTGGGAATTGTAGAAGGAAAGAATAAATATTACTGCAGTAGTGGGCTTGGCCTTTTTCTGCAGTGCTGAGTTGCTCAAACATGCAAACAAAAATTGCAGGTAGTCTGGCACAACCCGATGCCTCTTTTGTTTTGCATCATATCCAGCCTAATCTAATGAATTGTGCCTATCCCACCCCCACTCCTTTTGAAGGTTGTTTGCAAACTCAAACTGCAAACTACAGATCAATCATGGAGTGTAGTGTTGAACCACGAGGGTCATCTAGTCCTAGTCTAGTGCAGGAATCTTTTGCCCAATGTGGTGGGGAGATTGAGTCTCCTGCTGTACCAACTGAGCTATCTCTGCTACCCTCTTCTGGGGTTCTTTGCTTAACATCTAGCCTGATAAAAACACTTTTGGGGGGCCCTACCAGGTGTTACCTGGCTCCTATTAATACATTCAAACCTTGTTAAGCTTCACTGGGCTTATGGTTGCTGGGTCTAAAGATCACCCTTCTTCATATTGCCACCTTGGTTTCTTTAACTGACAAGTCTGTTAAGTATTTTTCAAGTCCTTGATCAGTGGCTTTAACAAATTGCCTGATTGTAGCCCTTAGGCAACCAGGAATTCCATCCTGGCCAGTGAGCAGGCTGGTGGCATATGGATGGATGGAACTCTTGATAAAGCCCTCCTCTTGCCAGACCATTTGGGTGAGGGGTGCTCATTCCTATGCACATTTGTCTGGAAATGCACACTGATAGCCTCTTAGCAGACTGGTGACTTTTGTGACTTTATTTCCAAGGCTGAGTTCACCATGCAGCAACTGTGCAGGGACATAGCAAAGGAAGATCTGCTATTAAAGCCAAGAACTGTTTAGTTGCGACTCTTGCATTGCATTGGACTAGATGATCCTTGGGATCCCTTGCAACTCTACAGTTCTATGATTGTATTTTTCTGTAAGTATGTCTGGCACTGTCTTCTTGGGCAATACCAGCATTGCTCTCCAGATGCTACAAATATCAAACGGTGCAGCTCCTCTCCTAATTTCAATGTAAAACCCCAATTTCATTCTGTTTATTCCATTTCCACATGAATGAAAATTGAGATGTATGTGATAACCGGTGCCTCTGTGTAGAAGACACAAGAGTCACCATATCTCAGTGAATCATCTTGATACCTGCTTTTGCTGACATCTAGGCCTGCTTAGGCTTCAAATGCATCCAAGCAAATCTTGCTCTGTGATGTTGTGGATCAAAGGAAGTATATCCTGAGTCAGCTGTAGAGGAGTGCACATTTTAAATGAACTGATACTGTGTCAGACGTACTGTGACTGAAGAAACCAATGAACTTTTAATGCAGGCACCTTTCTATGTAAGTGCCCCACCGGGTACTTAATATATTTATTTGCAAACAAAGCTCATATCGGGCCTTATGAAATTACTGGTTTATTTGCTTACACAGAGATTATGAGCAGCCTCCTTTTCTATCTGGAGCTTCATGTGAAACTGCAGACCAGATGAAAGTGATGAGCTGAATTGGTTTCTACACCTGTTTGCCATTCTACGTCTGCCTAAATGCTGGAGAGTAGCTTTTAGCTTTTGGCTTTCCGCCAAATCAAACAGGAAGCCTGCTGTTTCTATAGACTTTGCTAGCAAAATGTGATACATGGACTCCTAGTCCTGTGCTGTGCAGACAAAGGGGGAGGGTAGTGTGCCTAAAAATGGAAAGTCTCTCTCTCTCCCCACCCCACACCCCCAGTATCTTGGGAATATTGTGGGGAATAGCTGTTGGTCTACTGGTCTGTGGCGGCAAAAACAGAGAGCTTGTGGCACTGTTGACACTCACTCTCTGCCAGCAGGATATAATTCATTGCTTTCTGGGACTAAAGCAGTGAGCAGAATCTGGAACTGGTTTTGGAACCACCTGACAAACTTTCATTACCTGTCGGGAGATCTCTTCCTCTCCAAAACCATAATTAAAACCGGATTTGAAATGGGCTTTAAAGCCAAATTATAACAATCAAGCAGAACTGACTGGGGATATACGTGGTCTGCCTACAATCATAGTGCACTATATACAGTGGTTAAGCCTCACAAAAGATGTGCCTAGTCTAACTGGGAACTTTCTCAAAGTCTCTTGTTGGCCATAGACACTTACTTTCCAAGTGCATTATGAACAGGGGCAGGGGAATTTCTTATGGGTCTACAATCATGCTCTGATCTTCATTGCTGCCATCTAATATGAGTCCTGCTCAGCTCCTGCCACCCCACCCCCATCAAATGTCATCCTCAGTGAAGAAGAAAAATCAGTGAGATGGATAAAAAGTTGCTAATTTTTGCATGCCTTCAATTTGTACACTTTATTGTCAGTTATGTGTGTGCATTTCTACAGAAATGATACATTTCTAACACAGGACCAGGCTAAAGGCCATGGGTAGCCACAGAAAGCACAGATCCGGTTACTCTTTTTTTTAGCAAAATTAGGAGCTTCCACACAATTTCAGCTTCTAATGTGTCCCTTCAGGGATCTCTAGGATGAAAAGTTTCAGAAAATCAATAATGCAAGCCTGGATTATTGTTGATACTAATTTGGGATCGGATTATCAACATTCATACATCGCACATTGAGTGTGTTAGTTGCAGGTTTAATCACTTCAGAAACTAGCTAAAATTAATTTGCTAATCCAGTCACTGCGGGGTCACTGAGGAAAATGTAGCACCTCCTCACACTTGAGTCTGTGTGCTGGAAGGGCAGCCAGGCAGGTGCACAAAGGCCTGCATGTGCTAATACATGTGAGCACACTTTGATTTGTGTGGCCGTCGCCCTTTATTAATTTATAGTACTTTTATATCACTTTTTGCCATACAATGGTCCCAAAGTGGAGCTATTAAAAGGCTGACTCTTCTCTTCCCAAGTGAGCTCAGTCTGGCCTCCAAGCTGTGGTCCTTTAATTGTCAGGCAGCACTCTTAATTTCTGGGAAGGCAAGGCAGGTGGCTCTTGGGTAGCTGTGCCCAAATCCTTAGGGCAGTTCAGACCAGACTAGATGCCAGGCATTCTGGGCACATGCCTCTGGGTCAGTGAATAATGGAGCAATGGGGATTCTCAATAGTGGGGGTTCCTGAGGGGAGGGGGTGGAATGGATGAGGACCTTTGTAAAATTAGTAGGCTGCATCTTTGTCTGTTTACCAAAAAAGGGCTTTGCATTGTCCAACAGTTGTGCACATTCCAGAAGGGAGACCAGGTGATAAGGCACTGAGGCAGAAAGGGTTAAAGATTAACCCCCTGAACCAAGGCCACTTAGGGAAAGTGACTTGAGCTCAAACACACCATCTGTATTGCTTCCAACATTATTTACACCTCCTATTTATTTGGTTCCCCCATTCAACCTTGCTAGTTGGTAGGCAATGCATTTAGCAGATAAAGTCTTTACTGGATGTGGGCGTGATGCTCCCTACTTGTAACTGTAATGCCAAGTGTAGGTTGGATGTTGACTTATGTGACAACTCTGGATTAAGTAATTCCTATTGCAAGAAAACTGGGCTGCCCCCTGCCCCCAGGCACCTCTCCCTATATTATTCATTTTCTTTTATGTCATTGATTGATCTATACATCTCTCTTGCACAGAAGAACCTGCTTTGAACTTCCCTGATCATTTTTGCAAGAAATGATTCATGATGTGCCTGGTTGAGCTCACATAATTGGTTTATCTTTTGGGGATACAATTCCTTAACTTCAAAAAGCTCAACAAACTCATAAGTGGGAAAGTGGTGATGAAATAGGTATTGCTAAACAACACACTGCTGTGGCAATATTGCCCAGTGACCCTAGATATGGAGAGCAGCCAGCATTGGTGGGTATGGGTTAACAAATTCTGGGACTTGCATGCACCACTTACATTTCTCTGAAAATATTCTTGTTAGGATAGTTTTTGTGATTATTACACTGTGATTGAGGGCAACTTTTATTTTCCTAAAAGTGCAGTGGGAAAGGCCACCATCTTGGATTCTCGTTTGGCTCGCTTGGAAGCTTGAAAGCAAACCATTTAGAATTGTATATGACTGCTAAAATCATGCGATTTTTTTGAATAGGAAGTGCACATGAATCTGATTTCTTGGATCCCAAGCTAACTTTCTAACTAGCAACTGGACCATCTCTTGATTCTGTTGCCCTTAGTCAGGCCTCCAAGGCCAGACCTCTTTGCTGCCGAGGCAAACAGGGTACCCCATCCTTTGGTACCCATTGGTACCCCATCCTTTGAAATACTTACGGTAAATCAGGGGTAGGCAACCTAAGGCCCGTGGGCCGGATCCTGCCCAAACACCTTCTCAGTCCGGCCCATGGACGGTCCGGGAATCAGAGTGTTTTTACATGAGTAGAATGTGTCTTTTTATTTAAAATGCATCTCTGGGTTATTTGTGGGGCATAGAAATTTGTTCATTTTTTTCTTCAAAATATAGTCCGGCCCCCCACATGGTCTGAGGGACGGCCCATGGCTGAAAAAGGTTGCCGACCCCTGACTTAAATGCACAGTGCCGCCCTCTATCTGTTAGTGGTAATAGTGAATTGTGTGTTGATGGTGGTTGCATGGGAGAGAGCTCTAACACTTCACTGCTTTTGGGATGCACGGCCAGGCCTCCCTTTCCTTGTTGTTGCTGGGAGGCTTAGTATTATGTGTCCTCCAGGATCCTTTTACAGGATTAATGCTGTTCCGCATTCTTGTCTGATAGAAGAAACGAGGTTGTGCTGGATTCCCTTGTAAATTCAACCCAAGGAGTCCATTGTCTTCACAATCCCTTTGAAAGAGGATTAGCTGCATCTATTCTCTGGTCCTCTCACTTTCCCTCTCTCCTCCCCTTCATTTCCTTGTGGAGGAATTTTCATAATAAAGAAATCTGAGCAAACTTTGGAAGGTTTCCTCCTGCCGGTTCAAATTTCCACCATTTTGGATTGCTGGTTGTATTGCTGGGGTGGGGAGGGGGGAGGAGTTCTGTGTTTACTAGTACTTCTTTTCCACAAAAGAGAACATTACCTGGAACTCATGGCTTCTCTTCCATTTCTTTCTTGCTTTATAAATTTGAGCGACTTATTCTCAGTCTAATATAACAGAGAACTGTTCCTAAGGGCATCAACTAAAGCTATTGATATTACATCATGTTCACTGGTCACATTCCATACAGTGATGTATCCTAACTGCAGAAGGATCATTTTTAATAGATATCACCCCTGTGACACAGAGCTTGTAGCTGGTCTATTTCCAATCATGAACACACTGGTATGTTGTATTTCCATCAGCAAGGAAGGAGATGACTTATTGGGTAACCATTTTTCAAACTCCCTGTTTTCCAGGTTGCCATCAAATCTATCCGGAAAGACAAAATAAAGGATGAGCAGGATCTTGTCCATATCCGGAGAGAGATTGAAATAATGTCGTCTCTCAATCACCCCCACATCATTGCTGTCCATGAAGGTAAGAACATTTAACACACTGCCCCTCTCCAGGTACAGGTGCCACTGTATATCCATATAATATTGGTGCCAGCCTCCTTTTCATTATTTTTCAGATGTCTGACTTTTCAGAAAGGGGTCAGACTGAACTCAAGAAGTTGTAGCTCCAACCAGATATACATGGAGAGACCCGTATATAATCAATTCTGATATTGTTAAATATGATATGCATAGGGCATGATTTCCATTTACTATAGGTATCAAAAGTGTGGTAAAATGTTTCTGTAATTTTTAGGAGGCTATCTGCAAAACTAATTGGGGAGGCCCCACAAAGTTCTTTTCACTAAGCAGTGCTGGTTGCTGTTTCTTCTGTTTCCCGTTCTAATGTACAAATAAATGCCATTTTTCGTCAACTCCACAATGTTGCAAGGGTTGAAACTCTCTGTGGCTTCTACCGGAGGCACAAATGGATGACTCAGTAGTAGCAGCAGCAGCAGCACACAGATCTAGAGGGTAAAAGTTCCCCTCCTACACCCTTTCGTACTTTCTTCCTTGTTTTTGTGTACAAAACAACTTGTAGTGGTGGCATGGTCTCTCTCTATTTTTATTTTTTTTAAAGCAATAGCAGCCAGCTCCTATTATTTCCAGCTTTGAGAGTAAGGATTCCTGCAAAATTGTTCTTAGAACTCTGTGAAATGCCACGTAAGGTGTGTGTTCTAACCTGGAGCCTGGCTCCAGGTATTGCATATTTATTGTTGGCATATGGCAGATACGTGCAGTATTGTAAATACTGGTGACGGTGAGAGTTCTTAAGGCACCGTGCTGCTAAATATAGCAGAAGGGTTGGCATTTCACAAGGCTCTGTGTGTTTGTACAGCCTGTGCCATTTGGTCCATAGCTCTTACTTTAACCCCAAAATGACTTGAACGGTGTGTTAAATCGTGATAGGAAAAACCTGACCCTAAGCTACTAACTTGTAAAATGCATTAGACTTGAATGAAATGTGCCTGTTTGTTAAACAGGCAGGTGTTGTGCCATCTTAGAATTTATATGAATGTACTCTTTAAAATAACGCTGCATTTGCAGCTGAACTGAACTGAAATGGTACCCTAGAGCACCAACTTCATGAGCCTGATTTGGAAGGGACACAAGTCAGGATAGGACAGGGACGGGGTTGTTGGACTAGAATGCCCATCATCCCTAACCATTGATCACCTTGGTTGGAGTTGATGAGAACTGGGAATCCAACAATGTCAAGAGGAGCAGAAGTTCCGCACTCTTGGGATAGGAACTAAAGCCACAGACTTGTCATCAAGATTGTTCAGCTTAGACATCTTGGATTCTTTGTGATTCATCTTAATGCCGTCCCTGTTCTTGTTCATGTAGTATTTGAAAACAGCAGCAAGATTGTCATTGTGATGGAGTATGCCAGCAAGGGAGACCTCTACGACTACATCAGTGAGCGCCAGAGATTAACTGAGCAGGAAGCCCGACATTTCTTCAGGCAGGTGGTGTCTGCTATCTACTACTGTCACAAGGTGAGTCAATTGGATGACTTAAAGTCTTGGTGCACCTTCTTATGTCTGTGCTGTTTCTCCAGCAGTTACTTAAGACACTTGGAAAGTCAAGAAGCGTAGGAGTCTTGAGACTCTGTTCAAATATCACCAGGAGTTGCCTCCTTGTCTTCATTGATCTCCCCAATGGTGCTGCTTTCGCTTGGGAAAATCCACAGTTTACCGCTGAAGCTGAGCAAACCGGATTGCTATTTGTTCCAGTTTAGCACTAAAGCACAGGCTGTCTGTGGAAAAGCAGCAGGGCAAAGGCAGAACTGCTCTGACCTGTGCCTAGAAACCACGGGGCAAGCGGAAAACCACTCTGACCCATTCATAAGCCTGTGTGAAACAAGTATGTGGATCTGCATTGGTCTACAGGGAACATACAGTGCACAATATATTTGCATCACCATGCAGCAACATGCTTCAAGCACGGAGCATACAATATGTTATGAATGAACTGTTATAGAACAGTTACAGATATAAAGGCTAGTAATTATTGGCAGTCATAGGAATTTTGATGTTAACAAGGACATAAACATTGGCGGGCTACCTTCCTCCTTAAAGGAAAGAAGTGATAGGGGAGGGCTATTAGACCCTTGTCCTGCTGTACATAAGTGGGCCAGTTTGAGCAATACTGCCCATTCCAAGGCATGGTGCCCCTGGGACAAGTCACCTGAATTATAGTGTACACATAGGCCCAAACTGCATGCTCAGTTTCCACAAAGGTTTTTATGCGCACAGGCTGTGTTGTTTGGATGTGTTCTATGTGTAGTATTGGATTGGACAGGTACTGCGTTCTGCGCAGAGGTGTTACGGTGTTGGGAGACAAGCAAAGCTGCATATTTCCTCAGGGTGTTTTGTGTACTGCTAAGGCACTGTTTTCCTAACGAGGTTAGTCACAGTAGTATTGTCAATGTCAACCTTGCACTTGGGGGAACACCCATAGCTGTCACACTGGATTTAATACTAAAAATGTAAAGCATTCTGGCTTGCATTTTCACTTTTACTTGAAGCGAAAGGGTCCCTGTGAAGCGACAAATTCAGTTGTGCTGATCTGTATGGGGAATGCGAACAAACCTCTTTCTACCTGCTGTGTCATCAGATTTTTTTATAGTTTTAAATCTTGACTGTTAAGGAAACAGATGCTGGTAGTATTGCATCACTGAATGTTTAGAGACAGAGCCCATGAAATTTCGTTGACTCTTGAAAGTCTGGATTTGGTTAATTTTATTTTTGCCACTTGCAAAGTGTATACCAAAAATGGTAAGCTCATTTGCTAAACTGGAAAGCAGCTAATCTCATTTATTCTACCTTCAAAATGTATTCCTGTGATTTGAGGCAGACAAAAAAACTTAAGGTGATAGATTGAGCTTGGATAAAGCACTCATAATATATACCCTGGCAATAAATGTCTAGAATTCCTGGCCTCCTCCTACTTTGCATGTTTTGTTTTTGTTGCAGAATGTGGGGAGGAATGTAGAGATGCAGGTTTTGGAACTCTTTCTTTTGGGAAGGAATTTTGGGATTCTAGGAATGTTAAAGGCCAGAGGACAAAATGGGCTAGCGTGGTACATAGGAAGGTGTGAGCAGGGAACATAATTGCAATTTGTCATGGCATTACCTAAACTCCACATTGCAATAATATGGACTAGGAGCCTGACTTCTTTCTACTTTGCTCATGAAATTGTTAAATATCAGGCAATGATAGCAACTGAATGTGCTGGCTCCATCACATGATTTCAGGTCCATGGCAGATAGTGGTACCAAACATTGGTCAGATAATAGGCAATATGTGGATGGCCATGACATGATGCATCTTGAATGCAAAGGAGAGAGTTTTGTGCTTGTATCTGAGAAATGACACTAGCAAACCTGACATCTTTCACCCACCATCTTGTTTTGGAGATGGGGAAACAAGAATAGCAACATGCAACACTTGGTTAAAGAGGTCCTTTGTAGACATTCAGAGCTTTTGTCATTGTTTAGTGCAATTGGAGCTTTCATTTGTGGTGATCCTACTTATTTTCATGGACTTGCGATTATGAAAACATGGCTCTCAGGTTTGTATGCAAGCACATGCTCTTATGGAAAGTTCTCTAGTTGTGTAGAAGAGCACTACGACAGTAGAATAAAGTGGAAGGTTCTCAATTTGAACCTAATTGTTGGGCTGAACATTTGTTGGAATCCCTTGTTAGAACTTTCTCTCCTGTATTCCTAGTGGGTGTGTATATTGTGTCTCTCACTTTAGTTTCCTGTCTGGCTGCTTTGGGCTTTTTGCCCTTAAGAAAAAAACCAAGAGTCTGTTAAACACACTGCTAGCATCTCTATAGATGGACAGAATTAGTAGAGGCAGACTTCTAGCATGCTTTGGCTTCCACCAGAAAAAACAAACCTAAACTCTCCTTTTCCCTCTCTCAACAGAATGGAATTGTTCATAGAGATCTGAAGCTAGAAAACATCCTTCTGGACGCTAACGGCAACATCAAGGTAAGTGGAGCTATTCAAGTTTGTCAGTAGCTTGTAACATGTGATGCTCAAATGTCTGTGAGGACATTATTTGCACCTTTAAAGTCAAGGTTGCTTTCAGATATTAGCAAAATATACAGAAAAAGAGGACTTTAAAACTGCAATAGAAAGCTAATGACAAAATTAAAATCAATGCAAGAGAGAAAGGGGGTGGGAATCTAATAAACGTTGTAGCCAGTGAATATGCTTTACATTTGCATTGTGGAGTTGGAACCTGGAGTCTTAATGTTTGGGAGGCCACAACACCCTTCATCCTTGACCATTGACCAGGCTGGCAGGATGTGATGTGATTTGGAGTCCAACAACATCTGGAGGGCAGATGTTTGGGCAAGGATGGTTCAGACCATGTTCTCTGTGGGTTGTTCTCATTTCTAAACTGGCACCCGCTACAGTTGGATGCCAGGGTTGCAAAGGGGAAAGGTGAGCCTTGCTATTTCTTGTAACTGTGGAAAACAAGAAAATGCTGTCCTCCAGATCCTTGATATTTGTCGGGGACCAGGATCCTTTAACCAGAGAGACGAAGGAGCTATAAATAGCCAGCGGTTACCAGAATACCAGGGCATATCTCCCATGATAAACATGCAGCTATTCCGTGTAATCCAAATAGTGACTCATGGCAAGTTAGGGATAAGGGGAAAGTTTTTTGTGGCTTACAAGCAAGGAGGAAATGCCTGTGTCCAAGATGATTAGACCACATATTTCAGTTGTCAGGCTTAAGAATAATCCAACAGAGTTTATCCTGGTTCTGTGCAAAAGGATAATACCTAGAGTTGTCCTACTATGGAATAATAAGAAAGTGAAATTCCCAGGCACCTTTTGAGCAACAGATGACCAAGTAGGAAACTTCTCTGATAATTGAAAGAAGCAATGTTGACTATTCACACTCAGTGGAAGCATAAATCTTACGCCAAGGGTAGCCAGTATGTGGCCCTCCAGATATCATAAAATCATAGATTTGTAGAGTTGGAAGAGTCTACGAGGCTCATCTTGTCCCAACCTTCTGCAATGCAGGACTCTTTTGCCCAGTGTGGGGCTTGAACCCATAAGAGTCTGAGCCTCCGCCAGCACAGCCATTAGTTAGGGATGACTGAGTTTGCAGTCCACCAGCAGACAGTACATAAGGGCAGCACCTTGGGCTACCCTTTTCTTTATGCAGAGAAAAGAAATCCATTGTAATAGCTTTAAAACTGTGATGGTCTTACTGGACCGCCAGGCATCTGGTACATCAACTAATTCCCATAGGCGCTTACGTAGCCAAACCCTTCTGTAGGGGACCTATGAGGTCTGGGTTCACAGAGGTGATGAGGGATGCATGAAGATGGCACTGCCTCAAGGCCCAGATTTGTGGTGTCAGCCCACTGAGTTTCCTACCTTTTATAATGCAGCAAGAGGGACTGGTAGGAAAATGTGGTATCCCAGAACTGTTAAAATCCAGGGGGCTTTAACTCCTCATATATTGCAAGGATAAGGAAACAACGCTTCCAAAGTTCTGCTTAATGGCATAAACCACATACTCTTTCACCCAGAGAGTTTTTCCTCCTTAAAAAAAAAAGAGCCAGTCAACTGTTAACATAATGGAGATTTTTGTGCAGTTAATAATAAACAAAGACCTCCCATGGCCTATGTTGCCTGAACAATAGGCCGTTCCGCAACTGTGAACCTGGAAACATGTTCTGTACCTTCTGGCTGATATGATTGGCTGTGAGGCTGGATAAACAAAGGTATTAAAAATGTGGTATCAGCAGATGCTTGCAGCTGTGGCACAAGCGCAAGGCTGGTAGAGCTCAGCTGCTCAGTTCTTCAAGCCCTGGTACATTCCTGATGAAGCAGTTCTGCTTTTAGTCTAGGAACTGAATGTGCTTTTAGGGCTTCCACCTTTTTCCTGGAAGGCTCCTGAACAAGTGCATGGCAGGCAGAAATTCAACTGGTGCAGCTGTGATCCAGTGCCCAGCCCTAGAAGCTGTGGGTTCAGATTTCAAATCTTAATTCAGGCCAGCAATGTTTTTAATAGACACAATGCAGGTTATGGTAGTGGTCTTCCACCAACAACAGTGCTAACCTGTGACCTTATTTCCCTCCCACCCCTAGATTGCAGACTTTGGCCTCTCCAATGTCTTCCAACAAGACAGGTTCCTCCAGACCTTCTGTGGGAGCCCCCTCTATGCATCCCCTGAGATCGTCAATGGAAGGCCTTACAAAGGACCTGAGGTAAGAGGGCTACTTATAAAACAAAACTCCAGACCCAACCATTCTCTCAGGCCAGTCCCTCATGGGCTGGCAGTTATGTACCCTCTAGTCTGGGCTTCTCTCTCGTCTTCTGCCTTCCTTCAGGGCACAGAGGCCTTAGGCAACCCCAGGGAAGGTGAGGGTTCCCCTTCTTAGACCACTGATGGTTCTGTCCATGTGCTCCCAGGCCTGAGGTTCCTTGTCTCATTTCCTTAGCAAATAAGATGATATTGTCTACATGGCACATAGTTCAAATTATGTGTCTTGATATGTCTTTGCCTAGCAATTAAAGCAGCCTGCTCCATCCAACATCTGCTCCATCCAACATATGAGCCCTCCGTGTGTTTGGAGCTATAACTTCTGTCAGCCCCAGCCAGCATGGTTGGGGATGCAGGGAGCTGTAGTCCAGTGACACCCAGAAGGCTGAATTAAAGCAATAGCAATGAGCAACACAGTCCTTGTTCTTTTCACCTGCTGATGCTTCTGTCTCTTCTGTTTCTTCAGGTTGACAGCTGGTCCCTTGGAGTGCTCCTCTATATTTTGATTCATGGCGCAATGCCTTTTGATGGTCAAGACTACAAGACTCTGGTCAAGCAAATCTCAAGTGGTGACTATAGAGAGCCCACCAAGCTATCGGGTGAGTGGAAATGGCAGTAGAAGTTCTGCATTCTGCTGTTTTGATATTGTTTTATGAAAGTGTGGATTACACATCCTGTGCCTCTCTGTGTGCAGTTAACACAAACAACATGTAGCACATAGCAGCCAGTGCATGCAACTGTCCCTGTTTATTAAATAAAATACGTAGTCATGAACATAAGGAGAGCCTGCTGGATCAGGTTGATGACCCATCTTAGTCCAGCATCCTGCTCTCACGGTGCAGCCAGACGTCATGGCTTTTGAATATCTGTTAAACAGGCCAAGCCATTGGCTGACATGCAGGTGGAGAGGTCAGAGTCTTCACTTACTTGAAGCACACACAGAGATTCTGGGGAAAGGAGATTTAAAATGGAACATGGCCCTTACCGGTGTATCTGATGTGGTTTCTTTGTCCTTCAGAGGCCTGCGGCTTGATCCGGTGGATGCTGATGGTGAACCCAGAGCGCCGAGCCACTATCGAAGACATTGCCAGCCACTGGTGGGTGAACTGGGGCTACAAGGTGCCCATTGGGGAGCAGGAGTCCTTGCGTGAGAACGAATCTCCATTGGCCACAGTGGCAGAGTGGCTGCGCCGCTCCTCCAGGCCCCTCTTTGAGAATGGCTCCAAGGTCCGCTGCTTCTTCAAGCAGCACATCCCTGGCGTCACGCTGGAGAGGCAGCGCTCGCTGAAGAAGTCTAAGAAGGAGAATGACGTCTCCCACGCTCTGCAGGAGACAGGACCTGTTCCCGAGAACCCATCCAAATCTATCCTCAAGAGACCCAAAGGCATCTTGAAGAAGAGGAATTCCTGCGAGAAGACCCAGGCCCCCCCTCCTGCTCCTCCTCTAGTGATGGCACCTCCCATGGACATGAGGAAGGAGGGCAATACTGGAACTGCCCTTGATTTGACTTGCGTCTTGTCATCCAAGGCTTTGAACTGCAAGAACGAAGATGTTGCAGCCACCCCTACCGCACCCAAGAAGGGAATCCTGAAGAAGCCCCCAAAGAGAGAGTCTGGCTACTACTCCTCCCCAGAGCGCAGTGAATCAGTGGATGTCTTGGACTCTAGCATGGACCTTGATGCCAACGTCTTTTCTGGTGATGCCTCCTCTGCACCCTCACCTCAGAGCTCCAGTTATGACCATCACACCAGGAGGAAAGGCATCTTGAAGCACAATGGCAAGTACTCTTCCAGCAGCACCGAGTCAGACAGCGTGCCTGCCAAAGTCTTCTCCCCTTTTACAGAAGTTGCCTTGCCCAAGCTGCCCCTGACCTGCCGTAGTCGCCCATCCAGTGCGGTGAGCGAGGACAGTATCCTTTCCACAGAGTCCTTTGACCAGCTTGACTTGCCTGATCGGGTGCTTGGGAGCGGAGGCATCCCGATGCGAGCATCCGTCTCTGCGGATGACCTCCTGCAGCTGGAGGAGGAGGGAGAGGCGGGAGGTCGGCGGCTCCGCCGCTGGACAGTGACTCGTTGCCAAAACCCTCTGGCAGATAGCTGCTTCTCCCTGGTGGACTGCGATAACGTCACCGAGGTCTACAAGCGGGCTGTGGCCATCAGCATGAAACTCAGCTGAGGGGGCCACGGGAAGACTTTGCGCTAATCAATGCACACATCCGCAGCGATGTCTCGCAGTGGCTCTGGCTCGGAAGGAACGGAGTTGTCCAAACAATTTGCACTTCCTTTTGAGGTGGGACGAGAGAACTTTCCTCAGACTTTGTCTTCTCCTCCCCCAACAGGGTTAGAAGTGCAACCGGCTAGAAGTATTTATTTGTTGCATATGCTTTGGAATGTAAAGAGAACACTCAAGGTTTTAACAATGGCTTGTACTAGGTCAACAGGGTATGGGAGTGTGTTTGGAGGGAGAAGAAGGTATGTTGGTAGGAAGATTGTGGATATGGGATGGATCTGTAAGGGCAGTGTAGTGGGGCTGGAGTATTAGGGGAGAAACATGGAGGCATCTGTTAAGTGCAGGGCAGTGGGTTAAAAAAATAAATCAATCTCTGCCTTCTCACAGTGAGTTGAAATCCTAAATGGTGGAGACCTGTAACACTCCCGTGAATACTTTCATCTTCTCCAAACAGATCCTGATGATCATCCTTTTGATCTTAGTGACTGGGATGGTTATTTTATTTGCACTGTGCTTCTTTAATTGCACAAAGATCATAACTGAGGTAGAAACTCCTGAAGGGGAACAATGATGTGGCAAGGCAATAGGAAAGGAATAGCTCTTAAGCTGCAAAAAACTAGGTTTCTGGCCCCTTGGAGAGTATCTGCACTACAAACACAGAAAAGGGTGTCTTGCTATATCCTGGTATTCTCAGCCCTAAAAAAGTGGGGAGGGGGCAAGGGCTTGCTAATGTGATTCTGAGCATCCTCCATAAAATCAAGACTGTCTTTAGAAAAGCCTTGGTGGTTGAACTAAAAGCATGCAACCGTGGTGTAAGTAGGATGTCAGCTGTTGAGAACTCGCCACAGTAACAGCACACAGGACCTCAGAAAGATCCCTCACCATCCTTCCTGCTTTGGTTTATTTATTCATTTGAGCAGACTAGAATATTTTGATTTTTAATTATAGATTCTAAAAATAAAATAAAATAATGCAAGATGGCTAAAGGTGTATCTCTATCCTTGATGTACCTTTCCTCTCTGCACCTCCTGAGAGAGATTGCAATTTTGAGAAAGTCAGTTTGACAACACCTGTGACCATTACAGCAGTCATTGTGTATCTCAGGAGATTGGCCTGCCCTTATTTTTGGGAAAAGATATTGACAGAAATGCGAATCAAATCAGAACTGGGAACTGGGGCACATGACATCTGAATGCTAAATGGAAGCCTTTACTGGAATGGGAGCAAATAAGGAATAGGCACATCAGGCATTAGAGAAAGTGGGCATCTTGTCCATGATAAACACATGTGCCTTTAAATACAAAAGTATGAACTGTGGCTCTGAGCATTAGATAAGTAAACTTACGCAGTTTAATGGAAGAAAGCCTTCTGGTGTCCTTCATTTCTCAATAGCCTCTTATACCCCCTAAAATTCCTCTCTAGAGGTCTGGGGGGGCCGCCTGAATAATGTGGGGTGAGGCTGTGGGCAGAGGACTGGAAACTTTCTTTTTATGAACTCCTTGGAAGTTAACTTATCTCAGCCTATGTGTGTTTGCCCGGATAGCTGTTACCTAATGGGGATTTTGCTGTTGCCAAGTATTTCAAAACACTGCTTTTCTGAGCAATGCAAGCTACTTGATGAAATGTTTTTGTTTCTTTTAATGGTTAAAGATGGTATTTTGTGTGTGTCTGTGTTTTGTTGTTGTTTTTTTAAAAAAGTAACTGGTGACTTTATAATATCTAGCAGGAAAGTGATCTGCAGAACATTTCTATCTTGTAACCCTTTTGGATTCCAAATAACCTGTTGCACTATCTTGCCATGTCTTCTCTGGTTGGCCTTCCAACTCTGTTTGCTTTGATTATTATTTTTGCCATCCAGAGAAGTTAATTAATACAAAAAAGCAAAATGAGACTTGAACTCTCTGGTCTATGCAGCTCTCCTTTTCGCAAGCTGATGGCAAACAATGGTTATGCAAAAAGAATAAAGGAAAAGGAACCAATTGTTGGATGCGTCAGTTGTCGTCATTGCCACTTCACTGGCTGGCCTGCCAAATGGTTAAAAGGCTGCTCCCCACCCACTCTTCTCTACTGGTCTTTTTCACATTCTCTGAAGACTGATCTTCTGAGATCTTCTGAAGCTAGTCACATCAAAATACTCTCTAGGCAAGACCACAAACTCCTTTGGCCATCGATCAGGAAATACTGTGAGCCCCTGGTTTCCATATGGGCAATTATGACCATTAGAAGGTAAAAGTGGGTTTTTCATACCTCATTGCAACCCCAACTGATTATAAAACATAGATTACTCATTACAGTTTTATCCCACTTCTTCTTATGAGGGGCATGCTAGCACCCAATAATTCCTGTTGAGGCAGAGGAGAGCACTGTATTGCAAATGGTTGGATATTAGAGCCCAGGATTCTTGCATTAAGCACTCCAGCCCCTGCACCTCACTGCCTCTCAGCAGTGAGAAACAACTCATTCATGTTAAGGCAATAAAGGTCTATTCTTTTTATTACTTTCAATTATATCTCGCCTTTCATCCCCGGTAAAGGTAAAAGGTAAAGGACCCTTGGATGGTTAAGTCCAGTCAAAAGGTGGTGGTGCTCATCTCACTTTTCAGGCCAAGGGAGCCGACGTTTGTCCACAGACAGCTTTCTGGGTCATGTGGCCAGCATGACTTCTGGCGCAACAGAACACTGTGACGGAAACCAGAGCGCACAGAAATGCTGTTTACCTTCCTACAACAGCAGTACCTATTTATCTACTTGCACTGACATGCTTCTGAACTGCTAGGTTGGCAGGAGCTGGGACAGAGCAACCGTTGCAGGGATTTGAACCACTGATGTTCTGATCAGCAAGCCCAAGAGGCTCTGTGGTTTAGACCACAGCTCATGGTTCTGAGAGGTGGGGCAGCCTCGAGTCTTATGGCTGGCTCAAAGTTACCCAACGAGCTTCACGGCTGAGCACAAATTGAAGCCTAGTTCTCCCAGGTTCTAGTCCAACACTAACCACTACACCATAAAATGCAGGAAAGATGTTTGTACAATTTCAAACACACCCTCCCAATTTCTTTTGCCAAAAGGCTTGCACAGAAGCTGGAAGTCTTCAACAGTCTTACTGGATGCTATTGGTGTAACACATGAAGCTTTCAAAGAGTCTTCGTTCATCTAGTCCAGTATTGCCACTCAGCCCCTGGAGAACCACTGCCAGTCAAAGGCAGTGATCTCCACCCTGCCCCACACCTGCTGCCTGATCCTGCTAGCTAGAGATGCCAGGGACTGAATATTGGGATGGGGCTTTTTGTGTGCAAGTGTTCCCTGCTGCTAGGCTATGTACAGTTCCTCTGGAGTGGGGAAGTGGGATAAAACGACATGGAACTGCACAATTTTGGGGAATCCCTTCCAAAAAAATAGGTAAAGGTACCCCTGACCATTAGGTCCAGTCATGGCCGACTCTGGGGTTGTGGCGCTCATCTCGCTTTATTGGCCGAGAGAGCCGGTGTACAGCTTCTGGGTCATGTGGCCAGCATGACTCAGCCGCTTCTGGCGAACCAGAGCAGCGCACGGAAACGCCGTTTACCTTCCTGCCGGAGCGGTACCTATTTATCTACTTGCACTTTGACGTGCTTTCGAACTGCTAGGTTGGCAGGAGCAGGGACTGAGCAACAGGAGCTCACCCCATTGCAGGGATTCGAACCGCCGACCTTCTGATTGGCAAGTCCTAGGCTCTGTGGTTTAACCCACAGCGCCACGCACGTCCCTTCCCAAAAAATAATATTCAGTAAATGGAAGTCTGAATTGCCCTATGCACTCAAGAGGTTATTGTTGCAGAGCTGAAACAAGGATTCAGGATACTCTTGGGCTCATCCTCACTGCCCTGCTGCATTTTCCCCAGGGAGACCTGCAGTTTAGTGCTGAATTGGAAAAAAATTGCAATTGGGTGCTCCATGGATTGCCACTTGTTCCGAATCAGAGCTAGACCACTGGTTTTTCCAGGGGAAAGTGATAGGGCAAAGGCCAAACTGCTTGAACATGTCCCTTCGTCTTGGCTGTAAATGAGGGTAGGTGGTCATCAGCCCAACTAGTGCCTTCTAGGCAGGAAGGAAACAAAGGTTAATGAGGAAATTATGGGTATTGCCTTCTATCCGTTGAGCAGCTCATGATACAGGGGCATATACTGTGACCTGGTCATTGCCTCGAGGGACACTAAATTGTTGTAGGGAGAATCTTGTCTGGGAAAAATAATTGCAGGGGTGGAGCAGGAGAAAAACAGGAAGCTACTGAGCTTGCTGATGAAGCAATTCCTGTGCTGCAGAAGCAGGTGGGGGAGACTATGCCTGATAACCATCAAACCCCACATTGACCTCCCTGTTGGCAAAGGTTTGGCCATCCCACTGATACTTGCCAAAGTGCACTTTATCATGAAAGAAAGTATTAAAATATATCCAGTTTGTTATTTCTTGCAGTGCTTGTTTAACCATATTTTTTTAGACTAAATATTTATAGCTTAATCCTGCAGTGAGATAATTGGTGGTCTTACATTCTCCCTCTCTCATGAAAAAACCTGATTACCTTTATAAGTACAATAAATCTTTCAACAAAATTAAGTGTTCATAGGGGTGTTCGTACATTCTTGCAGGGATACAGTGGTACCTTGGGTTAAGAACTTAATTCATTCTGGAGGTCCATTCTTAACCTGAAACTGTTCTTAACCTGAAGCACCACTTTAGCTAATGGGGCCTCCCGCACTGCTGCTGCACGATTTCTGTTCTCATTTTGAAGCAAAGTTCTTAACCCGAGGTACTATTTCTGGGTTAGTGGAGTCTGTAACCAGAAACGTCTGTAACCTGAAGCATCTGTAACCTGAGGTACCATTGTACCTGAAATAATGATTCTGCAACAGGCAGAACTGCAACTTGCAGTTAAGATGTATGAAATTTTGACACTGCTGAAGACTTAAGGTCCAAAATTCATGCAGCAGTAAATCGATGGACTTGTGTGTTGCCATATTAAAAGCTGTTCTAGAGAGCCAACTCCTAGGGGTTTAGGTCACTTTGCCCCCTAGTAAAATATTTGAGGTGGCTGGGGCCCCTAAAGTAAATGGCATTGCCATTCAAATAGTGTGTGTGCGCGTGTGTTTGCCACATTATGTGGGGTGGGGCTTACCTGGGCCCCCCAATATTTTATTCAAGTTGGCACCCCTGTTCTAGAGCATCACCTTTCAAGAGAATTTGACTACCCCTTTCCAATTATATGCAATTTCTAACCATGAGGCAATTAACACCTTAGTAATTAAGGTCACATCCATACCATACATTTAAAGCACACTGAATCATGGGAACTGTAGTTTGCCCTTACAGAGCCGCAGTTCCTAGCACTCTTAATAAACAGCAATTCCTCATATTTTGGGGAAGGGAAGCCATGTATTTAGAATGGTGTGAATGTGATCTATGTCTTTGTACAACTATTTAGAGTTTACATCCTTAAAAAGAAAGAGCAGCATGAGTGAGGCATCTTAAATTTACACTAACAGCATTTAATACCAGGGAATCACAATTAGAGAAAGCATTTCTAACTTGCTATTCCTCACAACGGGCGGGGTTCAATAACAAAACAGCCATCAGCATTTCAGAAATGCAGTGATACAAATAAATATATCTAGAGCAGAAAATATACAAACCAGCACAGGATATGACTCATGATGGGCACTCGGAAACTACCATACTTACCAAATGCCTGGTTAATTATCTTTTACTTTCTACCAAGCACAATTTCCTAAAACAAATTCAAACTAGTACTTAAGGTTACTGTCTGGGAACCTACTTAAAGCACAGTATTTTCTCTCTGTAGCACTGCCACTTGCATGAAGCAAACCCTTTTGTGGCATAACAAAAATGGTATCTTTTTTTTCAGCGTTCAGATTGGTCAGCTAAAAATGGAATTGAATGCTGCATCTTGCAAAAAGCTGGTTTGAGAATGGTTTACAAAACTTGAATAGCAGCATGCCAGAAGACCTGGAAATTATGTTAAAAGCCCAAACTCCAAAGTCTAAATGTGTAAACAAAACACACACACACCATAGGTCATTGCTGTTGCTATGTTAGATTTAAGTTAGGTTTTAACATTGATTTCCATTTTAATGCTAGTCTAATTTCAAAAAATAATAATAGACAAGCACAGTACTGAACGGACAGGTCCAAAATATCTGTTCTTGGGGAACTTGCCTTCAGAAATGGTGCTCGAAGGCCTTTTCAAGTTGATTAATGGAGCATAGTGTTTAGAATTGCTCATTATGTATACAAGCACCTCCAGCAGTAATTGCATTGTATTTGCACTAGGAATACCTCCAGGTGTTCTTGGACTCGGACTCCCATCAGCACCAGCCAGCACAGCCAATTATCAGGGATGATGGAAGCTGTAGTCTTAATAACTGGTAGACCAGATGTTCCCTGTCCCTGATGTTTTATTTATTTATTTATTTGATTGATTGATTGATTGATTGATTGATTGATAGATATACTGTCCTCCATCATAGATCCCAAGGAGGTTCACAGAATAACAGACAGGATAAAAAACAAGTAAATAAGTAAGGCAAAACAGCAAAACAATAACAGGCACATTTAAAAGGCTGTAGAATATTAATCAGCCCAAGACCTGGTTGTTGTACACCTTTGGTGCAGCTTGATTTCCCCATAGCCATCAGTGTCTATGCATTTACATCAGTTGCTCTCTTACTTTCTGCTGGAAATAATTGTATTTCAGTATTTCCCACAAGCAACGACTGAGGCCCTGAACAAAAGGGTGTTGGTGAACTGTTCATATAGAAATAACTCATATAACACACCACAGAAATTGCAGCATTTCTGAGCTCATTTACCCAGTACAAAGTATCTCCATAACATTCCTTTAGCTTCTGTGGGAGAAAGACAGCCAGATTGTAACTAAGCTGCTGATTTTCTAAATATCTGACCATTAGACCCGGTGATGACAAGAGCCAAAC